AGTCTACATGAACACCTTATCTTGCTCAAGATGTTCCAGTTTCATGACAGTATTAAGTTCCAGAAAAGCCCATGTTTAAAAAAATTGATAAATCAAGCTAATATACTGTGTTTAGCTATTAAAAAATATTCCACAATACAAATCCACCACATAAATAATAGGTGCAACAAGTCAAAGTTATTATACCACATTTACTAAAAATGGAAAACTGATGTGACAGCCTGGTGATACATTTTTATGTTTTTTAATATGAGTATGTCACCATGCCATACATATTAAGGATGTACTCAGTTTTCTACCTTGTTACCAGTTACCAACATTAACTCAGTTAAAATTTACTCAGATACCGTGCTATGGCTATATGGCCTAAAACAAAGGCAAGAGTAAAATTTGACCTCACTCTCAAGGAGACAAATAGCTTGTGTGCGTCATGCAGAATTGAACATATTTTTGCTGATTAAGCAACCATCTGGCCTTTATATTTTGTTCTAGAAATCTCACTGGGAACACTATAATTGAATGGTTTTTCTATAATTGAATGGATGATGTATTTTTCATATAATACCAGTCTTCTGCAATGTAACAAACTGGGGTTCCACAACGTTTTGCAGTAAAGGCTACATTATTCAGCCTTCTGCATAGAAGGCTTTTTTGTTGCAGTATGACACAAGGTAAGAAAACCTGCTTTACTGTAACAAATGCCTTGTACTATACAAAATTGATAAAGCCTCTTTGGGTCAAGGAATAGGTGCATGAAAAAGCCCCTTTCCCTCTTCTGCTGTACACCAGAGATTACACAATTTTTTCCTAAAGTGGACCTCAGCCTCAAAGAGAGACTGCAACACTGATATTTAATAACAACACAATAAAGGCAGCCTCACTGAAGTCAGGCCTGGGAGTAAAGATACCATAAAAAGCTGAGAAATTTTCTCTTCTCATGGACCACTTCTGATTTCAGTCATGACAGCAGCCTCACTCTCTCTCCTCATTCCCAATCAAGTAGACTGCTTACAGACGTTAAAGAAAGAAAAAAAAAAGGGGGGAGGAGGTACTTTAAAATTCATGCACCCCCATGCTGAGCTCAGTGCATGTCCAGAAAAGGCATCATATTAGATGTTGGGCAAGCCAGGTGCAACTATATAGACTGGGCACTTTAGTAGGGCTTTTTTGGTGCTTTTATTTAACAGCTGATTGAATCAGCTTTAGAAAGTGCCAAAAAGCCCTGCTGAAGTGCCCAATCTATACACATGCTGCAGAGCTAAGTCAAACTAACTGCCTCTTGTGGTAAAGCAAGTTTTTGGGAGCTTTTTTCCATGTCTGTCAGCACCCATAATGTCTCTGTGGAAACCACACCAAGTGCTGACAAAGTAAAACAATATTAAGAATATATTCTTCAGTTTATCAGTGTAAAAAGAAGTGATATCTCCTTAGCACCAGTCTATTCTCCACAACCAACAGGAAATGTTTCACAAACAGGCTTGAAAAGAAAATCAGCTTTGCACACTGACAGTATCAGGGAGACCCTTGTCCTCCAGAGGACAAAGGCACAAAACTCAAGGAGTTTTGTGTTCTGAAGTGTAACATATACAAGAACCTAGAAATAACAAACATCTGGAACTTAATGCTGCCAGGTTCCTGGCTACCACAGCTCCTTGAAGCCAATGAAAGTGGAGGGTGCTAATTTTCTTGCTGGAAGCACTCAGAACCTCACAGAAGCTTGTTTGTTATTATAGGAGAGAGGAAGCAAGGTTGAAAGTTATCCTTATGTGACCCTAACAGACCCACGAGGGATCCCCACACTCCTTACTTGTCACTGTCCCACATTCAAAATTCCCAGCAAGGATATTCCCTCCAATTCAGACAATATCTTAATCTTACTCATCTGGAAGTTGTCAGACTTGTTAAGTGAACCAAAGAAATAAGGTTGTAAACAGCAGCAGGAGCTACGTATTTCCAACATGTTGTTCCTCTCAAGTTTATTTTTGGTTTGTTTGTTTTTTCTGTCTGAAGCCAAGAGAGTCATATGGCATTAACACAGCTCAGGTAAGAGTCTTTTGTCTTACCCACCTGCAATTAGGACACAGTGATGTCAGCAAGAAATTGCTTAAAATACTTCTGACATGCAGCGCGAATGCTACATTTAATATAAAAGCAATCTTGTTGGTTTTTATGCTAGGGTGAGTTTTACTGGATGTGGTTTGAATAAGATTGATAGAAAGCCAGGAAATAAAAACAACATCTTTCAAAAACGTAGATTAAAAAAAAAAAAAAAGCTTGAACAGTTACAGCATGAAATTCTAAATTAAAGGCTGTGGTTGATATCAAACACCTCCATGTCGGATTCTAAGTGTTGAGGGGGCTCGCAAAATCTAATCATTTTCTCTCTTAAAACAGGGAAAATGGTATTGGTTCTTTGGTTTGAACATTCAATTACAGTCTCTACAATTAAGATATTATAGCGTTGTTTTAGCCAACAAGAAATAGAGAAAAACTGACCTGTGTGTGTTACTTGACCAAGAAGACAGAAGTACTGAAAGCTAACAAGTAGCCAGAAGTGGCAAAAAGTAAATTAGATTTATAAAAATGTAACTGTAATAAACTTATTAAAAAGCAGAATAAGTGAGGACTTTTAAAAGAGTAAAAAAGATTAAATACATATCAGTGTCAAAGTGCCCTTTTGATAGGTCCTCATAATTATACTAAAAAAAAGCAGTAAATATTCAAGATCAAGGAAAAACAGTTAAGCCTCCTTCTAGGAAAACAGACAAAACACAACAACTGTTTCTGCATATTTTATCTAAATTTAACAATGTATGTGCAAGGAAGTTATGAACTGAATCTTTTGCCATTTCCAAATAGAAAACCTTTACCATCTCCAACTAAAAAAAAAAGTGTTCTAAACTCCACAGAAGTGTGGTATAAACAAAGACAAATTACCCAGCAATGAAGGGGCTGTAACTGACCAGTACAAACTTCCCCACCTTCTAGTCAATTGACAAATTCATAGGCTAGTTTTCAATCTACACCCAGGGAATTTACATAAATAACTCCTATTATATACCAGGATAACTCCTATTAGCACAAACACCAATTCTCTCTTTACTGAGATTAATCACAAAAAACAAAAGGCCAGTATATTTCCATTTTGAAAATATAATGCAATATAATATATTTAGAATGGAAATACTGGCCTTTGTGACTGATGTCAGTAAAGAGAGAATTGGTGTTCGCACTAATAGGAGTTATCTATGTGTATAACAGGAGTTATCTATGTAAATTCCCTGGGTGTAGATTCATAGGCTGGTCTTCAATTTGTCAGCTGACCAGAAAGTGGGGAAGCTTGTACTTGAAGAAAGAATTGGTGTTTGCACTAATGGGAGTTACTTATGTATATAAATAGGAGTTACTTATGTACGTAGTTAGGCATCTGAGAATTCCAGTGATTATTTAGGTGCCTAACTTCAGCCAACAAGTTAGTAAACAACAACAAAAGCTTTTCCTTAAAAATCAACAACTCTATAGCAATTTTTTGGCCTCCCCACTCACACAAAAAATAAGCTTGCCCTCTCCATCCTAACTCATTTTAATCAGTATTTTAGCAACTTGAAACTTCAGGCTCTTTTTCAGAGTCTGTAACGCACCCATTTGTCATTGCACGGAGTTTTACCCAAGAGCCGGACGTAGTGAAGCACCCATCAACCACCTCTTACTTTTGAGCTGTCCCTTGACATCCCGGTCTTCACTCGAGTGCTCCTCTTCGTAGTGTGACTGAAGCTGATAGAAGGACTGAAGATCCTTCAGGCACAGCGGGCACAGAAAGCCCTCTCGCACCTCCCCCGGGTCATCAAACGGTGGCGGGTAGCTCGATGCCATGACCGTTCCACGGGTCTCAGCAGCAGCGGTTCAGGCCTGTGTTCTTCAGCGGCATCGCACCTGAGCCAACACCGAGCTACGGGTGGAGAAGCAGCATCGCCCGTGGTGCCTGGGAAGAGACCAGCAGAGCAGTTATCACACCCCCCACGAATGGCTGAACCAGTCACTTTCTCCCGGCTTAATAACCCGGCTGCAGCTTACAACCAGGACCTCCCAGAGAACTGAGGAAGCCCCACGGCCAACATGGACCACCGAGCCAGGGGTGCCTTCTTCGTGCCCCCTCGAAGGTGCCAAACACACAACTCATCTCAGGCGGCCCAAACCCTTCCACGCCTGTGCTGGGCCCAGCCTAAACCCCAGGGGAGAGGGGCCCTTCATGGGAGAGGGGCCCTTCATGGGGGAGGGACCCCGGGCCCGCCCCCAGCCTCGCTTCTCGGCTCGGCTCGGCTCGGCCCGGCCCGGCCCGGCCCGGCCCCGCCCCGGGGTGAGGCACGGCCTGTCCGGGCCCCGACCAGCACCAGCACCACCTGTGAAGAAACCCTCCAACCCGCGGGGTCCACTCACCTACAGGCCCAACGAGCGCTGTGGGGTGCGGCGCGCCGAGCGCCGAGCCAGCAATAGCACGGCCGAGGGGGCGGGGCCGAACGCAGGGCGCGCCGCTGAGCGCCGAGCGATGGATGGGCGCGCGGGGCATGCTGGGAAAGGGGCGCGGGGCCACGCCGCGGTGCCTGTGGCCCGGCTTGGGAGGCGCCACCTGGGCCTTTCCCGCCTCCTGTGCCCAGCCCCACGTGCCGTGCGTGGCCTAGCGCCGCTTGGCCGCAGAAGCCCACCCACCACCTCAGCCGGCTGGGCCCTGTGTCAGGCCATGGGGCAGGTCCACACGTTTCCAGTGGCTTCTTTCCTCCAGCAAGGCGGGCTAGCGAAGAACTGCTGCCGTCGCCAGGGACTGGCTCGCTTCACGCCTGGCATTTGTGCGAGGCAGTCGAGTGCGCCCACCTGTGGCAAAGGTGGATGCGGTGGCATGAGGCAGCCGGTAGATGCAATCGCATGTTGGGTGCTTCCAGTGAAGACCTGGAGAATTGGGTCTATTGCGCGTACTGGAGTTGGCCTGCTGGCCACCATGGCTGGTAACGCCTTGCATATAACGTGTGTGTCTATGTGCACATGCTCCTGTGAGACGGATTTCCAGATCGTAGCCTGTTTTGAGTGGGTTTCAAGCCGTGGGATCATGTATTTTAGGCCCAACCCTTCCATTGGCTGCCAGTGATAATTCTGAAGTTTGCAACCGTGCACGTGAGCATGCTGGGAACAGACCAGAGGTTGCCAATAGGCCCGACAGGTTTCGTTCTCATAGCCCCCCCTGCAAAGTTGTATGTTTGGTCCTGCTCTCTATAGCCTAGACCCCACTTTGCTCCTCAAGGTAGGAATAAAACCCAGGAGCCTGGGTTTGGGTGCTTATCTTGCTGGGATCCTTTGCTCCTAGTTGACTTCCTGCCCCTGGGGCAGGGGGCTGGACTTAATGATCTCCTCAGGTCCTTTCCAGCCCTAATGTCTATGAAATCTATGAGTCCCAGTAAGAACTTTGGTCTCACATAGTCATGTATTGCCAAAATATGCATCATGTCCCACTTACTGCTTTATTTCAACTGGAAGAGGCCTGTGCTGTACTACTGCATATTAGCTAGACCAGCAGTTTCCAAACACTGACAGATAAATTCACTGACAGTGTATCACCAATTTAAAACAATACAGGATGAAGTACCACCAGAAAATTTGTGTCATATAAAGTAATTATAATCAATTTGTTAACACTGAGAAGTTGTGTGCATACCACTGAGGGTGGACATCATAGAGAACATTCCGGTTTTCTGCTGCTCTGTCCTCTATTGATACAAAGCCCGATGCCTTTATGTTCTCCATTTTTCTCTTCAAGAAAAATGGAGAACATAAAGGCATCGGGTTTCATATCAATAGAGAACAGAGGACAACTGTCCTCCATGATGGCCACCCTAGTACCACTGGTGGTACACGTACTACAGATTGTGAACCGCTGACCTAAACTAATGAGTCCCAGCTTTTTAAGGCTCAAGGCACCCCTCATTAGACTCAAAGCTTCTACAATTGTTACGAGTTGAGCAGCACCCTATTTCAAAAACTAACTTATTTGTTACTGTGCTCATCTTGCAGAGGAGCTGAGTAGTGGGGACAAGGGAGTGTGACTAAGCAGGGGTAAACCTGGGCTTGTGCTTATGTACTAATCTCACACCTCCTACACCCATCAAAGAATTCAAAGAATCTCACCCTGGTTAAGAATAAATGACCTAGACATATGACCCCTTCTTACATTATTAGTACTCAATAAGAAATAGGATGTTTCTGGGCACTGCTATGAACAGAGTCTCTTTATCTGAGGGTCAGTCATTTAAAACCACTTCAGCTCCCAGCAGGAGTCAAGGGTTATTATTTTCCAAGGTACAAGGGGGTAAGTGCCTACCTCCCCTTGGACTTAAAAGTTCTTCCCAGATAAGTGGTATTTGGTGGCCTCGTGAGATTAATTTGATGGTTCTCATTTTCACCTAGCTCACTACTGTAGTTTCCACTAATTAGCAAACTTGATAGAGGCCAAGAACTGGGTGCTCCACATGACCTGTCATACTTTTGATATATCAGAGGAATTCTGTATTCTGTATTCAGTTTGCTTATTTTTGTTCTGCTTGACCCATGCAGAGCTCAGTATTCACATCTTACCATTCCAGCTCTTTCATTTTTTTAAAGCCAAGAAGAGCAATTAGTCCATGCTAGAAACTAACCTGGTATCACATTTTGGCATCTGTTCTGCAGTCTGATCCAGGTGGGCAACCCACACTACATTATCATTTTCATCACCTTTTGCATCACACTGAATTTGGCCCATTTTGCTGTTACATGACTGCAATCTTACAGAAGCATAAGGGGGAAATAAAGGCTCAGAACTGACCTGATTTAGTCACAGGAATAATTGAATGTTACAAATAACCAAAGGAGCTGAATTTTTAAACAACCAATTTGAGTTGGATCCATTACTCTCTATTTTTCAAAACAATGCAGCCTTGGTTCAATTACTTGCAGAGAGAATCAGGCAGCTATGAAAAAGAACATAGAATCCCACTTATAATCACTTCCCTCTTTAGGATGGAAAACGCAGGCTCAAGACCAATTTGCTGTTAAAAGCAGAGATGACTTTAATGATACTGTAAGGGAAAAAATTCCCCCCTTAAGATACTGCAGCTCTGATGCTATTAACAAATTGTATTGTATTAATTTCAAAACATAAGAATGTCCTCAGCCCATAAAGACAGAGAAGAAAGAATGTTAATTTCTGCACTGTACCAAGGCAGTACAATTGGCTTAAGTATAAGGTCATGCTTATCTATACTGCTGCTGGTATCCATGGTCATCTATATAAGTGCTTTTAGGATATCTTTTCCTGGGGTTTATGTAAGAAAAATGGTGATATGTAAAAAGGATCCAGTCTGAGGAATGTGTTAATAAACTTGTGGCTCACTAATTATTATTAGATGGGATAACCTGGTGGTTTCTTTTTCAGTGTGACAAATAAGTAGAATTTATTTTGAATGACATGTTATATATAAAGCCATCAAGATGTGCATGTGCTTTAGGACCCCAACCCTGGCCACTGATCTTATGCGTGCAGTACCCTGTACCTATGAGATCTCACTGAAACCAATGGGGTTCTTCTTGCATAGATCTATGGCTAGTATCTGGATGTGAATAAATATACAGCTGACTTTCCCCTTCTTCCATTTCCTGACACTTGTTGTCTGACCTGATTTACTACATCACTTCTCTAGTAAGCACCATTCCCTGTGAATAATTAGGGGTGTGAGTCATGACTGCAGGTTTGGGCTCTCAGGCTTTAGTCCTGTGGTTTGTTCTCTCTGGGAGTCCTCAGCTAGTGCTGAAGAAGTCACAGGGTAAGGTTTTGTCTCTATAAGGGAAAAGCCTAGAATAGCTAATATGGAAGAGTAGCAACATCACTTTAGCTCCTTGTGTGAGTGCTCTTATTCTACACTAAGAATACCATGCAAAGAAACTCCAGTTTGGAGGTAACCTGTTTGGGGTAGTTATTACTTGGCCACCGCCTTGCTAGTTCTCACTTACTTCTGTGGCATTCCCTGGCTTGACAAGCCCTCATGTTGCAAGTCCTTTAGTGTGGCATCAGGTCTTGTCTCTAATGCATGTGATATAATCTCAAAACACTGCTGGAAAATGTTCACAGAAGTGGCATGATGGCTGTCCCACAGACGAGTGTCAACAAGTCAATGGAGTTGTGCCTGCTGGGACTGAGGGTGTGCATTTGACTTAACCGGAGACAGATCTGTGAGAAAAATCATAGTTTAAGTACTATAAATTGCCTAGCAAAGTAGAGTGGGTTTGATTAACAAGAGAGTAGACTTGATATGCAACATTTATCCTGGATTGTATGACACATTTAAACAGACACTGAGAGTCCCTGAGCCAGGGAGTAATGTTCTTTGTAAATGCAGTTAACAGTTTTCAGGCAAGTACTCTCTGCTACAACTGGAACTGTTTGTTCCCATTGTAATGACTACATGACATAGACTTCACGTAAAGGGGGATTCTCTGCATTCCTTAAGGGGACTCTCATTAGTCCCTACAGTAAGTTCATCATGTGGAATAGGAACACTCATGCTGCAAAAAGTGTTGTTCTTGCTTCTTGCAACACAGCCTGGATTTCCCACACCCAGGTTCTTTGTGAATAGGGACCTCCTTACTGCATGCAAATGTCAAAGAGCTGTGCTACACGGGACTGTGCTTGCAGCAAAGCTGAAGTTTTCTTGAATCCTGTACTAGCCTTTCATGGAAAATACCACACGGGGGGACATCCACATGTGCTATTAATTCAAAGTAGGCTTACTGCATAGTGAAAATGCTGTGCAGTAAGCCTACTGGGGAGCATGTCTACATGTGCTCCCTCTTGGGACCAGATTTGCTCCAGCCCTGCTCTCCCCCCCTGCAGCAGCCAGGGCTGCAGGCTCCCCCTGGATAATAGCCCAGGGGTTGGCATGGAGCACAGGCTGGTCCCTATGTGCACAGGCCAGTCCTGATTGTGGGGGGTCCTGATGTGCACAGGGTGGGACAGCTGCTGCTGCAGAGCTCTCCCACCCTATGCATGTGGGGACAAGCCCTATGTCCAGCAGGGCTTTCCTGCACAGCCTGGGGCTGGCCAGGACCAGTCCCAGTCTGCAGCTTGGAGCTGGCTGGGACCTGCCCTTCCTCCACAGGTGCTTCCTAGCCCTGTGCCTCAATCGGGAGATTGGGGCAGGAAGCTGCTGGTGAAGCAGTGTTAAGCTACCCCTGTTAAGAGTCCCCTCCCCTACAGCTGTTTCCCAGCTCTGTGCCCAGATCGCTAGAATAGTCTACTGTGCAATAAAGATCTTGTGTAGACACATCCACAGAGAAGTAAATAACAGGAATCATGGGCCAGACTCAGTAGATGTAAATTAGCATGGGTCCAATAGGCTGTACATTGATTTACACTAGCTCCCAAATTAGGCCTCAGTTTCCATTTTAGGTCCTCTCAGACTGTCTGTGTCTGGAATGATGCCCAGGCTGAAGTTTAAAATGAATTTTGACAGATACCAGTGGTATTGTCTAGACCTTTCTCTCCTATCCTAGGATGTTTTCTTCATACTAAGTATTGAGCTTGTTGTTTTATCTGTTTTAAAAAAGCTACACAGAATATTTCAGTTTCATTTGTGTGTGCAGCCGTCCTCCTGGATGGGAGCAGAACTTCTTGGCCTGTTTCATAATCCTACTGTTGCTAACTGCTAAAGGTGTACAGTGACAGCTGTAGCTTAAGTGCAGTGGGGCTATATTTATGGAGCAAGAAGATCTGATTACTTCTGCAAAACACCACAGCCATGGAACAGTGTGTGGCTGAAGTCCTAAGTGGCCAGGGATTGTTTCAATTTGCGGGATTTATTCTGTGGTATGAAAACACCTCCCAAAGCAAAGTATGTGCAGTCATATCTTCTTGTGAGCCAGCTATACAGTTGGGAGAGATGTTGCACAAATTTTCAAGCTGGAATAGAAGCCTGAAAGTTTGTCTGACATCTCTCCAAACTCCATGGTTGATCCAATAAAAGATATATCAAACATGCACATTCCCTGGACTATCATGACTACAGCAGCACTACAACCTTACTTGCAAAACAATACAGGCCATTAGGAGTACTTAATACAGTTGGAGGGCACCAGTTGAGGAGTGAGCAGAGATGGCTGATGGCTTTAGACCTCTTCACGTTCTCTTGGACAACTCCATACTCAACTCTTCCCAGGGCAGCCTGGAGACTGATATAAATTGGGCCAAAACCATTGGCAGCAACAGGTCATTTTATCTGCTGGGGACCAGTAAGATGTAGGAAGGGAATATGTGGGAACTATTACAGCGGCTTTTAGTTTTCTTTCTTCTGAGGGAGTCTTCCTGGACTGTATTAACTAGTGTTAGGACAACTTTATGCTGGTGAAGCAGTGTCAAGCCACCCTCATGAACTTGGGAATCTCAGGTGGAATCTAAGTGCTGATTCTCATTTATTATCCTATTTCTTCATTTTGCTTGGCCAGGCTTCTGTTTATGGTCTGTTTGAGCCAGTGAAAGATTCCCCTGTAGATAAAATGAGGTGGCTTAAAATTCCAGCCTCCTTTGGGGAGGCTGGAATTTCTGGGAAAGTTTAATGAGCTCAAGGAGGCTCTGGATGACCTTTGGGTGAGGAGTGGGTGTGAAGAGAGCAGTAGGGAAAAGCAAATGAAGGTGGGAGAGTCGAGGAGTTGAGGGAAGGAAGGAAATAGGGGGTGGAACAGGGACAATTTCTAGGCAGTTAAAAGGCACAGTAACCTCTCCAAAGTAACATTATAACTTAAGGTAACGCTGCTTTTTAACTAGAGCTGTGTCGCATGAGGCTCTGTAAATGCAGAGGCAGCCTACGGAAACGCAATTTATGAATGCCACCAGATGGTGCCATAAGCTCATCTAAGAATAACCTAGTGCCTGCTGGACAGCTATGCAGAGATCGTTTCACAAAGTGTTGTCTTACTTAATACTTAAGTTTATTTTTCATTGTTTCTTCACGTCTGCGAAGGGAACCTGTTTTGTCTTGGTGGAGAATAAGGTGCAGTGTCATTTTTTTCAGCTCAGTCCTTTACTGTTACACTTTCTGGAAGATGTGAAAATCAACAGAAGGAAAGAGCAATATCATGCAGTGTGACAATTAAGTTTGCTGTAAATCTGCCTGTCTGCAGTAGCTTCCTGCTGGCATCTCCAAGAGGAAACCCCTGGTTTTCAAATAGATAGGCTGGTTTTAGAAAGCATATGTAATGGTTAAAGCTTGGAAAGATAATAGTCTATCTACTATATCACTATACCTAGTGTAGTTGTTGGGAGCATGGATTAAAAAGCATATTCTGCAGAGAAAACAGCCTGCAAAGCCATGCAGGGGAACCAGGGCAAACAAAATGATGGAATAGGATAATAAATGAGGATCAGCAATTAGATTCCACCTGAGATTCCCAAGTTCACAAGGGCAAAGTAATGCAAGGGATCCAGGCAGGGAATACCAGGCCAGGTACTGGTCAGGGTAGAAGGCTGTGTAGTTTGCATGGCATGTTTGTATATTAAGACCAATGCAAGTGAGTCAGTTCCCCACTTCCATAAGCATCAGATTCACCTAAAAAGTCAAGCTGCACTTATTCTAAGGGAGAGACTATAACAAATGTTTGGCCAGCAAGCCAAAATAAAAAGGAGTCATTGGTGCAGTTCTCTTCTCAAATCCCTTTTAACAAATGTTCAATATACCAGAGATGTTTATAGTAAACAATTTGATGCAAAGCCAAATTGTTTGATTGCTCAGTGTGGGGAGGACAGGAGAGCTGCATTTCCCCCTGAATCTATGATTTTTCTGCTTTGTTTGCAGACTCATCTATCAAAAGTGACAACTTGATGATTTGTAGACAGTGCAGCTGAGAACTTGTCAAACATCATTCATATGATTTGCTCATTAACTGCTTCAGTGTTGTAATGTGCCAGGTATGTGGGGCAAAATTCTGTGTGTCTTCTTGGCCTTCGTTGTAGTGTTATCTCATCCCTTTAATGCAGCCTGAAGAAGTTGGTATATATATCCCTTCTGATGTGCTTGTGTTACAGTGGAAAGCTGGCACTTAAAAAAATAGTTTGAGGTTACATTAAGGAAGGGAATAGAGAATGATCCACAATCCAAAAAATGTTTTTATTTGTGACTATAATTATATTATGTTTCTTCATGGCTGTCCAGCTGGCTGCCCAGAGGCTGAACCCATGTCACAACTGAGGCCTATCGTGTCCCAGAGACGCCTGTGGTGAGCTGTGCCACACATTACTTCCAGAACCAGAAGCAGCATAGCCACCCTCCTACGAGATGGCACCTGGGTTTATTAGCTTTATTAAGAAGTGATAAATAGCCTGAGCACAATGTCATGCAAACTGGACTGCAGAGCTGGCTTGGTGTCTCTGCAGCTTGCCTAGCAAGTGGGCCATGAGGGAAGTAGACTGTGGGGCTTGTATGGGGGCAGAGGAAGGTGATCTGTGAAGCTGGAGATGAAGGTGAGGGGGAGGTGGGCTGCAGGAAAGTGTAGCTGGTAAGTAGCAGCAGCCCCAGAGTCTCAGAGCTGGGACGAGAGGGCCACGTGGGTTAGAGGAGTAAGAGATCTCAGCTCTGGTGGGGCACAAGTAAGTTTGCCCTGACTGAATGGCAGGAAGAGAAGCAGCTACCTCCCTCTCCCCTAGTGGCTGCACCTGAGCAAACTACTGTAATGTAATCCAGCCCCAGTGATCAAGAAGCTGGACAGACCTGACATAACTAGAGGAGACCAAAGTCACAGCATTCAGACGTAGCTCAGAATTGGGTTTAGATGACAAACAAAACTGCCCTTGGGGCTCTTGGATCTATGACTACAATAGCCTCCCTTTTTCCATCCCTCTTTTTATAGCACTAAGCTGAAACTTTGAAAGCAGTATGTCTCAAACAATATGCAGATTGCCCCCAGCTATCACCTTCCTGCTAAGACAAAAGAAACTGGTGTCTTGACAGCAAACAATATGTACTTTTCACAGACCTGTTATTAATGTCATTTGCAACGCAATCTGCTCATTCAAAGACCTTGTTCAAATGATGTGCTTACATTTTGTCTTGACTGCATCTGCTTTGAGAGCTTTCATCAAAGCATGATTATAACTTTCATTTCTCTTTGCTCTTCTCTTCTGCCTCTACTTTTACAGTAGTTTCTGTGGTAATCTCACATATCAGTGGCAGGAGGTTAGTTGATGCTGGAAACACACCCTCTTTGTCCTGCTGTTCTAAATTATTTTCAGATTGTGGACAGTTTCATAAAAGCAACACATCTCCCTTCTGTCTCCCCAGTCATACTCTCAGATGGTTCCAATAGTCACTACAGTGCTGTGCTGCTTGAATGCTTGAATACATACAATTAAGATACTATTCTGAAGAAAAGATGGGAATAAATTAGCTCCCCATGATGTGCTGAGTGTGGATGCTGACTGATATCCACTCCTTTCTATATGACCGTTCGTACTACATAAATAACTTTTTATTTATTAGGACAAAGTCCCCACTCTGTACTCTTTGTATTACTCCTGTGTGCACGCAAGACACAGTGCTTGGTCTTTCTTTGACACTGGTTTCTGAGGGAGTGAAAAATGTCACCCTCTAGCAGGATTCAATCCTGTTTGCAGCTGGAATCTCATTTTAGTCAGGTACCTGCTGAATTGGGATAGATAATCAGGGCTATTTGGCACAAGAGAAGTCAGCAAAAATTCAATAGTTGGCAGCTGATGCAAATGTTGTATTAATATGTTAATCATCTTATATCTGCAGGCATGACATTTTTAACCTTCCATGTTTGATACTACCTCAACTTTGATGTTGCCCAGAGGCCAAGTTTACCTGAGAAAAAAACACCAGAGAAAGAAAGAAAAAATAAGGAAGCTGCTACGCAAGGTTGGTTTGTATTCAGTTGTTGTAAACAGCTAAACCTCAGCTGGTGTTAATCAGCTTTGCTTTATTGGAATCAATGCACTGGTTTGCTTCAAGTGAGGTTCTGACCCTTAGTTTTTTATTAAACCTACAGTCAAACCCTACGCTCGGTTCATGTGAAGTTTCATTACAAACTGAGAATAGGTTTATCAAGAGCTCTTCTAAATGTCATGCACATGAGCCCATTTGTGGCTGGTGAATTGCTTTGTGTAGAGGCCCTGAGGGAGTGGGAGTTTCTCATTCTCCTGGTTTCTGATGGAAAACCAGGAGAATCTCATCCATTTCCACTGAACTGTTTTGAGAATCAGGCTCTAAATCTGATCTCACAGGGCTTGTGGAATCAGTGCCCTCTCGGTGTACATTAAGAACATCTGCACAGAGAGTCAGCGTGGGCGGGCTGTGCTATAGTAAATTCATACCTCAGTTTAATGTGCACTAACTTTCCGGCACAGACAAAACCCCATGTTGCAGTTTGCTCCCCATCCTGCTCCTAGACATCACAGCTACATGCTACTTTGTAGTGGGGATTGATTCTGGGGGCCAATCCAAGCCTATGTGACTGAAATACAATCAAAGAATCTTCTCAGCCTTCCACTTTAGATCTGTCAGTATCTGCTGTGTCTTTTCTTAGGGGACCATGTCTCCTCCATGGAAAAAAAAGAGGGATCCCTGTGCCCTACCACATTTCCATTTCCTAAAAGCATAAGCATCCTCCACATCACCTTCTCTCTTTGCAGTGTCATTGTTCTTAGTAGTCCTCGATTGAGGCACAGCATTTCTGGTATGTTTTGCTTCTATTTGGCTGCCTTCCAGCACTGAGCTGTTATTCATAATGATGCTGTAACCATTACTTTAAAAACACGATCAACAGTTGAATGCTCACCGGATGAGTCACTATGTGAGCAGTGACTTCACTCTTAACTTTGTTGATGTTGTTGCTCTTCAGTTCTTCAAGTTGATGAGTCATTAAAATACTAATAAAGGGTTTTGTTGGGGCCGCACATCTCTTTGAAATCCTCAACACACACTAATTATAATGATTTTGCATGGAAGCTGAGTACTTGCAGTAGCATTTTGTCAAGGGGTGCACAAAACGCTAGCAATGAGATGGGTTTAAAATAGTTGCAAAAGGCGTTAATTATACAGCTCCTCCTCTCCCGGCCCCAACAAGTCTCCTTCAGCCCAAAGACTAAAGCTCATTTGGAGAAATATAAGGAGGTTGCTTTGAGGAATCAGATTCCCTTATGCTTCAGTAGTCAGTGATGCTTCTGACATGTGGAGCAAATAAAGAGCTCAGTTTCGCTGCTATGGATGTTTAAGATTCCACTTCTAGCTGGAACCAAGATATTGCATTATTGAACTGCCAGCTAAGGGCCAGGATACAGATTCTCTTTATTCTAACCTCGTTCCCACTGAAGGCAAAGGGAAGATTTTTATGGAGGAGCTCTGGGATGGTTCTGCTCATTATCATTATTCCTAAAGTGCCACAGGCCAATGTGCAAATAAAAGCCAGGACTTGCACTCAAGGAGCTCAAGTCCTGCTCCTGTGTTCACTGGGCCATGATCTGTTCTAGAAGCAAAGCAGAGTATGCCCCTAAGGGCACAGAGAGTGAACAGTTGAGACATTTCCAAGTGAAACACCCTTGGAAATGTTTGAAAAAGGAATAATTTCATCCAGGGGGTATACATATGGCCCCAGTGCCATTCCTGGAACTTTTCAAAACACCTCAGCCTCCTCTAGCTCCAGTGTATGCAGGGAGGGGAGTGGGCTAGAGGAGGCTTCACTGTCCTCACAGGGACAGGAGATAGAGAAGAGGAGAGTATGGAGAGCCCCCAGCAGAAAGGTAAGCTGGGGGTCGGCTCCCTACCAGCAGCATTCCAATTTTCCATCTCCTAATCCCCTAAACTTCTCCTCTCTCCCTCTCAGGTAGAAGAGACTGGGGCTGTGGCCCTGGTCATAGGTTGCAGACCCCTGGTAGGGCAACATTACCCCTATAGCTATTGACCTTCCCCTGAGATGGTCAGGTTCAGAAGTAAAATGTCATCCATCTGTTGTACACTCTGGTTAGAATGAGTTAGTGGTATTGTGCATATAGGTTCACCAGTTACAGTCCTGGACTCCATCATAGTATGAAATACTATATGAAGAGAAGGAAAAGAACATGTCTGGCAATGCTAGTACCAGGTGTTACACCTGTTATCCTACCAACCTTAGTAAAGAAACCTCTTTTATGCACTAGATGGGAACCTGCCAAAACCTAGAGTTGTCCAAGCTTGGTGCTTGGAGCTCATGTTGCTTGTTCCCAGATAATTAAAGGTTTGGTTGTATTGGTCCTCTCCTACCCCGGAGAGACTGGTCACATCAGCTAATTAACTTGGGGCTCCTTCCAGGAGTTTGCACCAGACATCAAGTTCCAATTTACAGTCCATATAAAGACCACAATGAGTGCACTTCTCTTTAGTAACTCTTCATTTTTTATGTAAAAAGCCACACATTTTTATGTGGCATAAAAGCCACACAGCCAAATATAGCTTTCCTTTCCCTGGTGCCCTTCACACAAACTGCATTCCCAGAACAGCTTTGCAGAGTTTAAAAATATTTCTTAGATGAAATAAAAACTAAGAGAAAGGGCGAGGGTTGAAAGGAAAAGTGAATAGAGATATATTTAGGGAAGAGTTTAAGGTGCAGACAGTCAGTGAGGCAAAGATTGTTTCAAACTGTTCATTGAGC